AAAAAAAAAAAAAAAAAAAATCAACATTGTCTCGAAGAACTGAGTCAAAAGTTCCGTACATCTTGTATGGGGCGATTATACTCTGAGCTGGTAGATATATCGACTCTCAAGACCTTCTGTGACAATTTTTTGAATATTTGGCTCATAGAGAGTGCTGTGAGGCAGATATTTTGGCAGTAGGAAAGAGTGGCTCCACAATTGTACAAAAAATATATGGCATAAAACATACTTGTAAAAAAGTCTGACATTTTCCATGATGTATTGCAATGCAAACTATTGAAAAAACGTTTTCTGTAGTCCAAATACTATATATATTGCGTCAGTTGCCTTATCATTCTACGAAGAAATTTAGAGATATTTGACCTTGTAKTTTTCGGGTTTTTATTTATTTTTTAATAGCGCATGCAGCGAAATTTTCGTGAGGTCATCAAAACAAAAATTTCCTCAAGTTCTGGTACTGCACATGCTCGTGCACGAGCTGGCGCGCGCGCGTACAAAAGCTGTGTGGAGCCACCTTATAAGAGTATTTTTAATAGCAAGAAAATGTTGCAGGAAAAAAAAAATCCGATAAAAAGAATGATGTTTTACTTGTAAAATGTACACTGAGATAGATACGGACGACTTTTCTTCCCCCAACCCATTACTACAGGGAGCTCAAGGACGTCTATTTTCTCTGGGTCTAGACAAGGTTTTTTTATTATTTAAACAGGTTTATCGTAACATTTGCCCCAAAAGTAACAAGACTTGATAAAGGGGCTTACGTCTATTTAACAATATAAACCATAAAGAGCAACAGCGGACAGTTGGAAATAAGTACAATGAATACACAAAAAATACAAACTAAAATAGTACAACAGTCTCATAATAAGATAACAATAGAAGAAAAAAAGAAAAAGAAAAAAAACTATGTAACATCACAGTCGGATTAAAAAGCGATTAGTGGTTAAAAAATATTTTTGAACTTCAGAAAATAGTTTATAATTATAACTAAACAAGGTTGAAGGAAAAGACTCGGTCGAGTTGACGTTGCAGTGCATATTGGGGCTGTTTTAGTGGACGTGGAAATTTGTTTACAAAAGCAGCCCCAAAATGCACTGCAATGGCATTTGGACCCGGTTTTTACCTTGATCTTGGAATGGCTAACTGGTGAACATTGCAGTTTTAAGTCTAATCTTAAATTTTCTGTTCTCTTTTTGGACAGTCAAAACTACAATCCTGGTGTGATCCTCATGCCGTCGACTTACAACTTATCCGATCAAAACTAATTTTTTTTTCAATTTTTGTTTTCTTTTGGTTGACTTAGATTAATCCTGAGATTCGCACCAATATAGGAAATGATGATAAGTCCTCGTTTTTGTAGCGCCTTCTTCCACGTACCTGAAATACGCTTTGGAACTCAAGATATATGTAGAAAACACTGCCTGCACCCATCATGCATCATTGGCCAACAAAAAAACCCTAAAAGCCAACCACGAACAGTCGACGCGCTTGTTGTGATAAAAAGCGGAACAACTGAAATAGAATCATTCATGTATACCAACCAACCTGGTTTATCAACAACAAAACATGCAGAGGAATTTTTCTATGAAGATGTTAAGTGTGGAAGGCTTAGTAATACTCTCTATGTTTGGAGGTCTGTTTATGAATGTTTAGAGATATGCATGTACATAACATATCAGCCCTGTCATTTTTCCACGAGAAAGACACCTGGCAAAAGTTGTAGTAGTCAGATGGTCAAGCTTTATGAAGATGTTCTCAAGCCAATGAATATTAAGTTTGTTATAAAACCAACATTAATTTATAAGGTAAGTCAATAAAAGTGACGCTTTGTCGATTAAAGCGGAGCACCATACTTAAGGAGGCCTCCTTCAGTTTTTTTAATGCTCAATCGGTCGACTTTAGACAGCAATTGCTCTTTGATGCAAGGCAAACAGTTTTAAAAGTTCGCCCAATTACTGTGCAAAATCACTATAATTCATTGCAATCAGAGTTACCATAGCAACGAAACGAGAAATGACGCCACTGTTTTGAATTAGTTCAGCATATTTGCAAAACAATGTGTTAGAGCCGATTCGATTCAATATATAAGTTCCGTATATTTTTGTTGTTTCGCGTTCAAGATTCTTGGCTCTATGTTTGTTGTTTTCGTGTTCACATGTTTCAGCATCCCTGCATGGATTCATGCAATTTTCACAACGTTACCATAATGTTAATCTAAGGAAGTTAGAAACAAATTCATAGACAAATTTTTAAACAGGAGCGACGGACGCTCATGTTAAGAAGTTTGACGAAATTTTGCAGAAAAGTAGCCCGATATCCCTAAAGCGTTTGAAAGGTCAAGGAGTATCAATTCACGTTAATATATATATTTAGGCACTGCCTAAAAGCGGAGCTCCCGATACGGAAGTCACAGGGAGAACAATTTGAATGAAACTGAAAGGTAACAAGTTTTATGGTGGCTCCATCGGCTCAAAAACACAACACAAAACATTATTGAACAGAAGATTCTCCATCTACAGAAAAAGTTTGGTTTCGAAAATTGTATCTCAGAATACCCWGCGAGCAGAGTTTCCTTTACCTTCCTTCGAATGAGAGAAAGGAAAGAAGACTCTTTCCTTTCTCTCACTCGAGGGAAGGTAAAGGAGACTTTGCTCGCAGGGTAACCTCAGAATGGAAATATTACGAAAAACGTATCTCTTTCCCTAC